ATGCGAAATTCGACGTTCTTTTTCACAGAACATTTTTGAGTTTTCTAATAACTTAATTTAAAGTAATTTAAAGTACTTTAACTCATTAAAGCAATAGTGTTTACAAAACGCAGGATGTGTGCATATTAACGGCATGAGAGATATTTAAAAAATTAAATTTTTGTAGTTTTTGACAAAAAACAACAACAATAGAATACAGAAAAATAAACTTTATGTCATTTTTATTAGTGTAATTTGCACTACACGTTGGAAAAGTTTGAAGAAAAAATTGAGTTCATTTTAACAGAAAATGATTGAGTTTTCGAGAAACTTTACCTGACATTATTTAAATCCAATGTACGCATAAATACAATAATGTAAACAAATTACCGCTAAATATTAACAAGTAGAGACAAGTAAAAAAATTACATTTTTGTAAACAAAAGAATAGAGCATTATGGCTTAAAGAATATAGTTTATGACATCTTATATTATTATCTTATATATTTATCACTATTCCTACCAAAGGGATAAAGAAAACATTTGGAGCTGTTTTTGTGATAAATTTGTTTTTTGTAATGTTTTAATATTGCAAATTGCTCGCAGTGGTGCGCGAAAAATACTAAAATTAAAAAAAAACATGTACATGACCTTAATGAGAGAACTAATTATGGACAAAAATTGTATTTGAAGGAAAAATCTCTATCTTTAATTTTGTAGTTGTTAAGCATGAACATTTTGTTACTAAAATCAGAGAACTTTGTACTGAATTCAGAACTGTATGGAATATTAGGGGGTTTGTGAATTGAAGTGTGTATTAGGGTAGATTGACATTTTGCTGAATAGCGACACTAATATTTTCGAAAGTGTTATTTATATTTAAAGGTAGCTGATGATGTGTTACGGAATTTTTAACAAATATGGCGACCCCACCGCTGCACCGTTTTCGCGGTTGGTCTTAGTGATATAAAACAGAACCGAGAATATAAATTTTCATCGAAGGGCAAAGATGGGTTTCCTGAATGCAAGCTACTTGTATTTTATTATTATGCAAAAAGAGGACTAGCATATGAATATTAGGTTTAACACCGTTTCATTCCATGAAATGAGACGAAGTGAGGAATGCGTGGATCTACTTATAGACATGTTTTATGGATAATATAATTTTATTGATTGAAGGAAGTAGTTTGTGAGAGAAGAAATAATTTGACTTCGGAGTCTGGAGATGGAATATTCTACCTGTTGAGAGATAAATTGTTTCAACTGGAAGGACTGCCCAATGGACGGGTGTATGGGCTGTTTGAAAACATCTGAATATAGCGGCATTTGGTTTGGTAATGATGGCTGTGGAATTCTACGACGGTCGGAATTTGGTTCTTGAGGCATTGTGATAGGGATGGAAGGGGAAAGATGAGGATATAATACAGGAGAAGCCCTTGGAGTGGTTAATGAACGTGTATGATACGGCATCGCTTCTTGTGCGAATTGTTGTCGGATGGGGTAGCGGGATGGGAGTGATTTTCTATGGAGAATTTTTTGATAAATTTCACAATCGCGACTAGAGGACCGAGGGGCCAAGGGGCAGAGTGAACATTTGGTATCGGTACTAGAACATTCGGCCGTAGCATGCGGCCCTGCACATTTGCCGCAACGAGACAGGTTACCACAATACTTTTTTGTGTGCCCGAATATCTGACAACCTCGACACTGCACTGTCCCGGGTCCGTGACGACGCTCTTCAACCGTGATTATAGCATTGAACAGTTCTTTTAGATCTTATATTGCCCTGCTTTCTGAAGATTTAGTAAGAGTGACTGCACCTTAAGGCCAAGGTTTACGATTAGAATCAGTGAGATTGATAACCGTTATTACTGGTAAATGTTTGTTTACTAGTTCTTGATGAATGTCTTCCTCACTGTAGGATGTTGGGACATTTCGTACACCAAAGGAATAGTAGTTTTTGTCGGGTCCCTGTTGGTATGATAGAGTAACCCTTTCATTGATAATTGCTCACGGAGTAAAGTAAAGTCTTCGACTGTACTTGTTCTGATTTCAGTGCAAGGTCCTCTGATTTTAGTAACAAAATTTGCATGCTTAAGCAATTCATTAATGTTTTGCAAGAGTTCCGAATGAACAGGTGGATCATGAATAATGATTGGAGCAATATTAATAGCTTGTGACGAAGGAGAATGGTTGTTTGAGGCACCTTGCTCTGGGACGGGGTCGGGATCAGGGTCAAGAGTGGAAAATCTATTGCCGGTTGGTATGTTATATAGAGGTACATTTATACTATAAGGCATGCCGAATCTCTGTACATACGAAGCTTGGTTATACGCTGCATTTTGCAATCTGGGGCGTTTAAGAGAAGGAGAATGCGCTGTACTTATCTGTGGAAACGGTTGAGAATATCCCACGGGTGGTGTAGACAGCTGCGTGAATGTTGAATTCGCAGGTTCGCTCGCTGCATGTAGCTGATGCTGTTGCTGCTGCTGCTGCTACTGCTGTAGGCGACTAATTAGATACGGTTCCGTGTAATGATAGTCGTTAAGTGCGTATAGAGCTGACGACACCACATCTAATAGCGGAGGAAATGCTGCATTCGCGTTTTCTGCCATTTTTGTATTGAACATTTAACCTTACGAAACTATATTCACTTCTGAGTACTCATCTATGAGAAGAAAAAAACAAACAAACAAAAAACAAAGATCGCGCTAAGTGGCCTAAAAGGGCCCGTCACCGGGGTGACAACACCTCGTACTGATATGTCTAGAGATAATGACTTTTTAAAATGCACTTCACTACACAGAGATATTTAAACAAGTCACTCGCTTGCTGAACGGCCATAACACGGCCCCGCTGGAGCATTTCTTATCACTGGTCCTCGATCTTTTTAATCCATACGGATCCGTAATTTTTGATAGCCCATAAAATTTCCTAAATGTGTTTTCATTCTTTTCAATAACACAATTAGACTTTGAGTCATTCAAGGTCAGAGATTGCAATTTGTTTCGTCAGGGAGAGGTGGGGCTTGAGCGGACGGGAAGGCTGAAAAGAATATTAAAGAAACAGAATAATACGGAAAATTGGACATCATCTTACATATATATCAGGATACGGAAGGCTTCAACATAGATGTATTAACAGCCAGTGATCGCCGCAAAACAATCTTTTGTCCAATATTACAAAATCCATCATTACAAAATAGATGTTATGTTATGTAAGTTACGATAATTCAATATTGCTTTAGTAAACATCTATGCAACTGTATTTTTTCTTAAGTAAACTTGTCTACGTCTTTTGTCAGAGAAGTATATGATTGAATTCATATTCATTGAGACATAGATCGACCTTTTTTAATCCCTTTAAAGTGTACCTGTCGTAATTTCAATTATTTTTACTTAAACTGAAATTTTGTGAAGATACTAGCGTTTATATACCTTCATTTGATACCTATCTCCTAAATTGCACGTGCCAAAGACGCCCATACTAGGAACATTCCTGTGATATTGCAGTGTTACTGTGTTCTGAAGTGTTTCTTTTTTGTCAACTCGTTTCCTTTTCGTAAAAGTTTGAGAATTCAATTAGGAAACATTTCGTAATATAGTTCATTTTAATTCATTTCTTACTTCCAATGCACAAGAGTCTACGTGATTTATGTGAATATACAGGAAAGATAAATAATTTCACATAAGATATTTTTTTTTGTGAAAATCAGTGTTGCAAGTAAGGTAACCTCCCATTTACCGTTATTAGAGAACATTTTTGAAGAAATATGAAAAGAAACATAAAAAGACGGAAAACAGCACACGGTATTTAATATCCTCGAACGGTCGTATTGGTTGACTGAGTAAACCACTCGTTTCCTTTTCCGATAATCTTATCGATCTTTGTGGTACAGCTATCACATTGCATGCTTGAAACTGGATTGTTATATTGCTGTATGGTGCCTTAGGGTGGTTTTTGTTTAAATAGTACGGAAGACTGGGACTGCTTGGCATGTGGGTTTCTACATCGCCAAAACGCTTCCATAACATCTAGTTTTGTGTCACATGTCCTTCACGATCTAACGAACTTCCCATAAAACCCTCAGAACAATTAGTGCAATGATGGTGGAACCGTTATCTCAATTGTATTTAGAACTTGGAGTGTAATATTTTTGTTGTTCATTGGTTTCCTTTTGTGTTACTGGAAAAGAAAGATTAGCTCCTCTCTCTTTTTCAGTAGAAACCTTCAACCAAGCTCTTGATTTTTGTGAAACATAATTGTACTTCCCTTGCAACTTTATGGCTTTTTAATAAAAAAACATCGTTCGGGATTGGTTAATAGTTTTAATTGGTGATGACAGCAATTGGTCTGTCAGTCGTCTCCAAAAAAGGATTTTGCTGATATTTTTATTTACACTTGAGGCGGAAACATCAGTAGTGGCGACAGTTAAGAATATTTTCGTAGTTTTTTTTCTAAATTCTTGTGTTACAATACTTAATTCGATATGTGAATATCAAAGGTCAATTGATCTCTTCTGGGGATTAGGTCCATTGCCTAAAAATGGTCAAGGTTGAATTTGATGTATTTTCTTTTGATTTACTTCTAAACTTAATGTTGTTTTTGTTTGTTTAAATATAAAATAAATAAATAATATTCGTTCTAATCTTCACCACTAGAAAACATAAGCTCCACGTTCAGCAAGTTTGAAGCCATTGGGAAGCTTTCAATTCATAATTTTCCAATTATTTGCTTGAAGTGATTAAGTTGCAGTAAGCGCCTAACACACTCATTTTGCTCGTCTATCACAAAGTCAAGTCCTCTAGCGTGGAACTCAAAACAATTAAATGAGTTTACCTATTCAATGTCCTAAAAAAGACAAGACAAAACAAACAATGGAAACTACATTTAAAAAAGTTTCCTTGTCAAAACTAAACCGGAGTTGCGTAAAAAATTAAAAACACAACTGGTGTCAACCATCCTCGACTCACCTATATTTTGTTAAACGACACCTCGCAACAATTTCACACAATTAAACTCATTGAGGTAGTCAACTCTGGTGGTGACGCGGCAACTGGTGGAGAAAGCGTCATCTAGTGGTGAAACAAAGGAAGAGGCTTCGTATGCATTTGAGAACAACTTTTTTTTTTAATGACAACTGCTAATTTGATTAGAATACATTTATGACTGACTGATTAGAATACATGGATGATATTTTTGAGCAACTTGACTATTGAGGGGGGACGCTGCGGATGGCGGTGTGGCCAGCGACGCCGCGCACGCCGAGGCCCGTGACTTCGAAGACGGTGCCGGCCAGTGGCTGCTGCGCCACCTCGTCGTCGGAGAGGCCGTAGCGGGAGGTGGTCACGTACAGAGTGGAGAGGTCGGAGCCGCCGAACACCACGTCAGTCACGCGGTCAGCCGGGATGTCCACCACTCGAAGCAGCTCTCCCGTCCTGGGGTTCACGTTCAGCACCTGAAAACAGGTTGATCGTCCAATCTCGATTTTAAAAAAGCGACAGCTCTGAAGTTCATTTTTTGCGGTTATGCACCTAAGTTTGATTAGTGTACACATCAAGATAGCCTTAAATTTTGCGTTTTAGAACATGTATTCTATTGATTACACTTACTTCTTTAAACAAAAGTGTTATTTAAACGGTGTACCTAGGTTGCATTGCCAAGGCGTTCAATATCTGACATTTCTATTGTATTAAATGTAATACACTTTGTAATAAAACATTGATTTAGTTGACATTATTCAACGTTTATTACCCACACTGAAATATATTGTTTTGTTCTTCCTTCTTCAAAATCCCTCGAATGGCTCTGAGAGCAAGAGAGCAAGAAGGAAGTCAGAATGTCCTCGACGATTATCACAACTTCTGACGCGAAACAATCTTTCGTGCAGACTAGTAGCCTATATCACAGAAATGTGAACGTCTTTCGTAAGGTATCCAAAGTGGCTCAAAGGTCGTCCCTAATACGTAAGGTTCAGGTTGAAACGAATCTGATTTCAAAATACTTGTGCATTTCTAAACTACTCCTGATACTGCATGTCACACTAATTCCCACCACAGGTCATTGTTCTAACAAGTAAAAAGTTTGTGATTCCGTATTTAGCCTACATTGCTTTTCTCACTTTAAAGTGAGTTTTTTGCGTTGAACTTGTCTGCGTTTTGCACAAAATATAAATTAATAAAGGAAACTAAATCAATGTAAAATGTTCACTTCATGACGAAGGCACTGAATGTGATATTTATGTCGTCGTCTTTCCAAATAGTGTTTTAAAACACAACACTGAACATCTTTTTTCGGGCACAACCAAAGAAAGTTCGTGAAGTGATAAAATCGAGGAGCGAATAGTGATTAAATCGAACTGGAAACCGGCTGAGTGAGCTGAGTCCAACAACTGTTATCACTCTCTGAACGTGAATTAAGCGGCGACCCTGATCGGTAGCTTTCCGTGGATTTTCCGATCAATACCAAGCGAATGCTCGAGCGGTACCGTAACAAATTGGCCACGAGCCGCCCGCGATCTTTCCTTTTTCATCCATCCTCTCTTACACAGAAACGTACTCTAATCTTCACTACACTACTACAATGTCAGGAGACCGGGCGGGGGCTTGGAGCTTATCCGGCTGGGACGGTGTCCCGCTGAAGGGAGATATCTGGAGACAGAAACCTTACAAGCCAAAGCTTAGGTCAGTATTGGATGAGTTCCAGTTGGTGAGGTACACCACCACCTCCCGGGATATAATATGCTCAACAATAATGAAGTAGTTGTACGCGCCCATAAACCACAATGAATCATAGAATTGAACAGAAGCGCGTCACATTCTGTCAACGTCTTCTTCAACGGAAGTTCAAATACTGCAGCGCGTGTTTCTGGGCACACAAACGACCTCTAAAATCTATCAGTGGCGGTACATATCTCGAAACAGTTTTATTTTTCAAGTGATGTTTCGATGAGAAATAAAAAAAGACAAGGACGCGATTTCAAAATCGCCCAAAAGGGTTGCTGATGTCGAAAAGTCGTTGTAGTCGGGATTCAAATCTATTACCTCCTCGGCTCTTATGCTTAGAGAGAAGGGGTGTGAGCGTAGTTGGACCAGCTGCCCAAATGCAAGAATTCGCACCAACTGCCAGCGGTGGCTCGCTGCACTCCCCTTCTCTAGACTAGGGCCTTGTCGAATCCAGTCGCTGTCTGGAGGTGAATTCTCGCGGCCGGCTGCTTTGAGCGGTAGTTTTTCGTGATTCCTCCGACAAACACCAGGCGAACGCTGGAGCAGTATCCTAACAAACTAACCACGGACCGCGCGATCTTTCCTTCCTCTTCCTTGTCATATCCTCACCTCTTATATACACACTTAAACGTCCTATACTACCACACATGCCGGGAGCTTAGAGCTTGTCTCTGCTGGGGCGGAGCCCCGCTCGTGGGAGATACCTGGTTCGGGAAAGCTCCGCTAGCCGATGGTAGGTCGGCGCCGGATCTCGCCATACAGCGGGGGAAGATCACTGACACCTCCAGAAGAAAAACATGCTCTACACTTACTGGACTTTTGACCGTAGCAGTTGACACGCCAGGAATCACGAAGAATGAATCAATCGCTAGTCTAGAGAGGATCGCCCCCGAGTGCCTTCCCTCCTTTCCAGTCGGGCTAACTCGAACTCCAGCGGGCCACACCGGTGGCGCGCAGACGACCGCTGAGCACGTCACGCCGTCTAGGCTTCCATTTACGCAGCCCTGGTCTAGACTTCGGTTCAGCTCTCCGGATTCGACCTGACCTTGGGGCGAAAAGTGTATCTTCTGTCTTAGCAACCTCAGAGCTTGAAGCCCCTAGCTAGGGCGTTGTCCCACCCAGATTTTCAATGTTGCAAGACGGAGGGAATAGAGAGACCAAGAGCGGCTGGGTTCATGCGTAAATTCAAATTCTAGTTTTGAAGTGTGTGTGTCTGTGTAGTCTTGAAAAACCTCTAGTTGGTGCGAAATGGAGCCAGGACAGACCCACATAAAGAAAACCTACTGAACAACAACTGCAATCGCTAAAGCATCCAGTCCAACAAGACGAATATTAAGAGGGTAAAAACCGCCCACCATGTCTCCCGGGAGATCATGGTACACACAAGAAAGGACTTGTATTGTGCAACTCTCCATCTAACGCCACGTTGCCTTACGAACCTTGCTATAAGTAGCACATACGAGCATTATGAAGAAATGTAAAAATGTATTTATACTCTTGATAAGAATGTTTCTATTTCTACTTCTCGCAAGATTGTTTCTAGGAAATTTTTAAGATTTTCTTTGTAAGCACTCACCTTAGCTCCATTGAAGACTGCAACCCACAAGTTATCATTAGCATCAATGGTCATTCCATCGGGAACGCCGGTAATGTTATTCGATGTCAGATCGAACACAGTCCTCCTATTGCCTGTAATATTGAGTAAATTCTTTATTTTCCAAAAACATGCACCTTTGTACTTACAGTACTCTATAGAGCCTCATTTAATTGTACATTTAGCTTAAAGACTTGCATTACTAATATAATTCAAAATTCCCTTTCGCTCATTATTGGCGTCGTGTTCGTCTAGTCTGAGTTTCATGTTGTGAAATAATTCTCAAATCCTCACATTGCTTGTTGGATTACTTGTTTCATATGTATTTAAAAAATAGATTATATAATTGCATAATGCCATTTTACAGATTTTTTACCGTTATTACTTTACTCATTATAAGGGCACTAATACAGAAGATTTTTTTTCATTCATATCAAGGGTAGATCTACGGAGAATCATGAGTCCATGCCATCTCCCTTGGATTTATTTTAGCAGCTTACAGCGGAAAAACTACGAATAGAAAGGGGGAGGGACCAGCGGGTTTTGTTTCTGGAAACTTCTGCTTGCTCTTAAGCATTCGTATCTGACAAATATTTGGATCGATTTTCTGCTTCGGAAAACTGATGTTGCGTTGTATAGTCCGACAAAATCGACAGGGTTAGAATTTTTTTGTGAGAATATGACAGTATTACTTGTATTAATAATATAATTAATACATTGATTAACATAATAACTAATGTATTGATTAATGGAATTAATTAATGAGTAATAGTTATTTGCTGCTTTGCTTGAAAGGGAAAATATGAACGTTATATGAGCAATTACATTTTTATATTAAAAAACAATACTCACTGATATCTCCAGTAACAATGTCGTAATCAAACACATCCACGTGCTCAGTGGGAGAGTCTATGTAATACATGAGCTTGTCGTCATGGCTCCAAATGAGACCGTTGGAAACGCTGACGGGACTCAGATGAGTCACCACATTGTCAGAGTTGGTATCGACACTGTACAAAGAACCTTGGTTGGGAGTCACATCACCAGGAACAGGTTCGGGTCCCATAGTACCTGAAATTCCAAACACTTTGTCAGAGCACTAAAAGTAGTATGCACTCGCACAACATATCTGCCCATTTAGGTCTAGTAAATATGATGGGCTGGAGTCAAGTTAAATAATATCAAAATGTTTAAAAATAAGTAGTTACTTTGGCAATGACGGACAAAAGTAAAGCTAATAAAAATAATATTTTCTTGATCAAAATATACATCTCAACGACAGCGCGAATTTCTTGTACTTACTCGCCATGCTAGATCCTTACGTAGTAAAGAGATGGTTTTGTAATGCTGCAGCGGAAATAAGCGATTTTTTGTCAGAAAACCTCCTTTTGCGACGCTCTGATATCGAAAAAGTGGCAAAATCTTGTTCCTATATGTAGTAAAATACTTCTTCTAACACGTAGTCAGATTCCCCGTTTTGTGAGCCCTTGATACAGAACAATTAGCTGATAGCAAAATGTCTGTCTGTCCGTCTGTGGCCAAGGTAAGCTCACCTGTGGGATTGAGAGTTAGTTTTAATTATGTCTGCTTTCAATTAAGTATATATTGTTCATGAGCTGCAACGAAAAATACTAATTTTGTGGAATAACCGTTAAATTATTGATGCTTCCGAGCACGTCAACTGATATGGTCATTAGGCCCGTTTAGTCAGTGGTTTATCCTGTTATGTGTGGTAGAGTAAGTGCATATGTGAATAAAGGGAGAAGATAGGACAAGGTCGAGAAAAGATCGCGCGCGGTCCATAGCCCGTTTGTTAAGGTACTGCTCCAGCATTTACCCGGTATTGATCGAAGAAACCATAGAAAACAACAGATCAGAGCACCCCCAGGAGATAAAATTCATCTGCAAACACCGACAGAAACCGATTTAGCTATGTAACTAGTCCTCCACCGTCGGAACTCGAACCCTTGGGCCTTCCGATCAGAGTCGCTGCAGAGTCTACGAGAATGCTCGCTCTGGGCTAAATTCAGCTGGTTTATAACTTTTTATAAGAACTGTTGTTAACAGAACACTTAAGAACCCCACTTCTGCCTACTTCTCAACCCACCAATTATTAAGGGCAAAATCTGCATTCCAGCCACCCGCGGAAACTCGAAACCTGTTTATCTCAAACCGATAGGAAAGTAGTGGTGACAAGAGCACATACTTTCTCGCATTATTTCTAAGCTTTGTAAATGTTCGAAAATTCAGAGAGTTCACGAAAATGAAATACGCGCCATTATTTTTAAGCTTTTTTTGCTCCAACCGAAAAAAATTAAAGATAAGATTGGTGCTGTTTCTGCGAAAAAAATATAATCTGCCTTTATTTGAAGCAAAAATTACACGAACGTTACTCGTATTTTCAAAACCTTTTATATGACCTTAAGGTTCTATTTTTAAACAAATTTTTAAAGTTCAAATTGTTTCTCTATCATCAATAATGTACTTTAGCAAGGTTAATTTATTGCAGTTTTCGAATATACAGATATTTGGCAGAAAATAGGACCTCCGCCATATTTAAGCGTCCTTTGCTCTATTCGAGATAAAAAATAAAGAAAACATTTCAAGCCACTTTTCAGATTTTTTTATAAATTCCCCTTACTTCAAGCAAAAAATCCTTAAAACTACTAGTATTTTTTCAAAACAATTGTATATGACATTAAAAACCGTCTTTCAAGAACAGATTTCATTAAAGAAAAAAATCTCTATCTTCAAGTTCTAGAAAGACACCGAAAATTTTTTGGAGTTTTGCAATTTTCGAAAATAAAGTGATTTCATTGAAAATGAGACATGTGCCTTTTTTAAGTGTCCTTTGTCTTTTTAATTTTTCTTGACAAAGTTTAACCAAAAACTTTTTAAGGCATTTTTTAGGAACTTATTAAAATTTTATTAAGGCACCATAACTGTATCCCTAAAAATTAACATATCCGTTAATCCATCTCGCAGGACTTCGAGTTCGGCCTGATCGATCAGGCCGAACTTAGAAGAAAATCCTTTGAATGGTTTAGGTGTTAGCGGTGACTACAGGCAGACGGACAGACAGACGCTAAACTAATTTGTCGGTATCAATGACTCACAAAATGTGGCTTCTGACTACACAACTTGTTGAAGGAACAAATGTACGACATACAAGAACAATATTTATACACATTTTCGGTATTAGGGCCCCACAATACTTTCTCATCACTACGTAAGTGTCTAATATGGCGATAGAGTAGAGAGAAGAGGGAGGGGAGAAAAGGAACAAAAGAGACCTGCGGCATTTTTAAACGTTCTTTGCTCTAACCAAGAAAAACGTGTAATAGAACTAGTGGTGCTAAAATAACAGGTAATTTCTTGCCCGCACTTCACGCAAAATTATGCGAAAAGTACTCAAATTGTCGAAAAATTCTACATGAACCTATATGAAAATATATCTTTAAATGGCAGATTCCATTAACAGAAAAATCTTTATTTTCATAATTGTAATAGTAGGAAGACGCCGAACAAATTTTGGCAATTTTGAATTTTTCGAAAAATCAGACTTTTTAACGAAAATGAGACCTGCAACATTCTCTTAAACATCCTTCACACTAACCAACAACAAAATTAAACAAAAACGATGTAGCATTTTTTTTTAAATATTGAAAATGTCCTAAGGGCTTCTTGTAAAGTGACCACCAAAATTAAAATATCGTTTTCAAATGCAAGGGGCCGCGACATCAACCAGATCGGTTAAGGAAAATCAATGTTGGAGAAAATCGGCTGAATGGTTTAGCCGCTAACGTTATTCACAGGAAGGACGGACGGACAGACATTTTGCAGTCATTCAAATTTTCGGTACCAAGGACCCACAAAATATGGATTCTGGCTACACCACGTATTAAGAGGATTTAAAAATAATAGCTACTGGATTTATTCACTTTTTCCTTACCATGCGCCTGTAATACGAGTAAGTGTATTTCTGCCGAAAAGTCGCCGTTTTTTCGCTCAGCATTACATACATTTCTCTCTACTTAGTAGGCGGTAGCGAAAAAGTAAAAAAAATGTGGAGCAATTTTAGAGCCATTTTGGAGAACATGTTGGTAAGGATTCACGTAAAACACTCCCAAAAATCAAAATGTCCGTTTCGAACTAGAGGGCCTCGTTTTCGGCCGAATGAACCGTAGAATTTCAATTTTGAAAAAACCGCCTAAACTGTTTAGGTGCAAACGTTGACCTCAGGCAGACAGGTAGCTGTTTTTTTATCAACCAATTTGTCCCTTCAAGAACACTTAAAACGTAAATTCTGACTACACTACATGTTAGAGGAAGTAATTTACTACAAAATTATAGGATCTATTCTATAGGATTATAGTACATCTAGTTTTTCGATATACGGGCCCGAAAATAAAAATTTTTTACAGATATGTTTTCCCATCTGTGGCTTGATATGTGATTAAGAAGTTTCTAAATTCTCTAAAAAACACCTCTAAAATTCTCTAAAAAATCTAAAAAAAACTCTAAGTAACTTCTATTGCTTCTTTTGTAGTAGGGCATTATTTTTACAATTGAGAAATTGATTGCTGCTGGAATTGTGCTTACGTTTGCATAGTGTCTGTCGGATGATAATATTAATATACACATTTATTGTATACTACTTGGTATTGGCAATCCTGTGTGCAATTGCACATTTGGAACATACATTCGACAGATCCTTGCATTTTCTTACCAAGCCAGAGGCGTCCAGTTGTGTCAGCCTTGCCATCGTTGAACCGGTTGCCCGGTTTGTCCGCCTCCACGGAGATGATGACCTTAACGCTCTCAGGCTCGGCCGATTTGCCATCCCAGCGCACCAGCAGGACGTCGTGACCACGAGTGACCACCAGCTCGTCGAGGGAGCCCGCAACAGGCAACACCAAACTCACGCCGCCGCCCTCTGCCATACAGGTACAAGAGATTTGTCACGTAACTTCTTCAAATATGTGTACACACATGGGAGCGTGGTCCCCGATAAATTTTGAAAGGGATCACCATAGCCTTACGTAATAAAACATTTTATTTCCGGAACTATATTGAATTCCTTGTTTTCCTCTTATTTATTCTGACAGTTTGAGGTATTGTTATACATTGGGAAAATGGTTTTCCTTGACATCTGTCAAAGAAGTAAATGGTTCGACATAGATTCAATTGTATTGATTTATTGTATCATTAAAGTTACTACTATTTAATTGTTCTTGTATTATGAATTATTTATTATCTAGCAAAATATATGTAAATAAAAAATATCTAATGGAAAAGTAGATCCAGAAATGCAGTGCGCCCCCTTCTTGTTTTAGGCTGCACACGCCTATGCTTCTGAATGAAAGTGTCAACATCCGTGAATGCTATTGTCAAGCCAAAGTAATAATTGGAAATCCTAAAGTATGCAAGAAATGTATAGCTTTTAATGATTTGATTTCTAAAAGTATAAAACTAAACGGATCAAGTCCTTCACTCAATTCATCTGCTTCCCAAAAAACAAAATTGTGCAATCTCCATAACAAGAAATTGTTGCCCCCAAATTTCGTTAATATCGATTATTGTCTACCAGAAATCTCACAACTGTAAATCTATGATGTCTGGTCGGGACCCCAAGATCACTTACGCTTGTGTTTTCTGATCACTGTAAGCTTTAAGAAACCCTTAGTGGGATGGCGCCTCACCGAAGTGGATGTTGGTGACTTGGCCGGTGGCGGGGTCGTAGCGATTCACCAACTCCCCGGCGATGTCGACGAAATAGAGTACTTGAGTGCGATCATCCCAGTAGCAGCCTTCGCCGTGATCGACGGGGGGCGTCACGGAGCGGACGACAGGAGTGCCCGGCGCCGCTGCGGTCGACCTGTGAACACACAGGAATTAATCAGAACAAAATATTCACTGGTTATATTTTTCCGTTTTTTTAAATTTACCTTCCTGCTTTCTTTATTTCTACTTGCTTATCTATCTAATTATCTATCTACCTTTCTCTCTCTTTATTTTACTCTTTCTTTCCTTCCTTCATTCTTTCTTTTTCTTTCTTTCCTTTTTCAGACGATGCTACCGGCCAGATCGAGCTCTGGCGAAACGTAGGCACGCTCTCAACAATCTCAGTGCGTTTCAGATTATAGGGTATGGGTTGCATGCAAATGAATGGTCAGTGTGTTATTCGGTCGTAAGGTTGGTAGTGGGGTCGGAATGGAGAAGGAAATGCGGGGCGCCGGCGGTGGATCGTTAATGTAGGAGCCTACGTAGGCTATCTCCGTTTGGATTTATTGTCTAGTTTGACTTTATTCTCAATGGTTGTTTTATATCCCAGTATTCTTTAGTATCAATATGTTTATAAGACACTTCTCCGACCTGCTGCCAAATATTATCTTCAATAATTTCGTTTCTCCAATGTTTAATGCTATTCGAAATATCTTGAACTATCAGGCTGATGTGACTACTTCCCTTTCCTGAAAAGTGTGTTTCTTGGAGATACGTCACTTTGGAAGTAAGCTATTCAGTTGCTCGGAGGAAACCACGGAAACGACCAATGAGCCAGCCTCTCGTCCATTGAGTGGCGGGCAAACGCGGCCACTTATTGTTAGTTGGTGTCAAAATCCGCCAGATCATAGGGTATGAGCTGGAAATTAGGGGGGAGGGACTCACTCTAGCGGTCAAATCGAACGAATGAATCGACGGGCAGCGGTTCTGGGGCGAGCAACGGCAAAATGCTACATAAAAGTCTCCGGATTTCGAATTCCAGATACTATTTCCAAATACGACAGTTTTTTTTACTGTTTTCATGTTAAATAAACAAAATCGCAGTCAAGGAAAAGAGGACTAAAACACAGAAATGTCAACGTCGGTATATATCGGGATTTAAACAAAATTTGCTTCGTTTGAAAGACCTCAAAAGCACATTGAATTACAAAACGTGAGATTCCAGGGCCATCTCATAACACCTCATTGGATCTCATTTACTATATAACACAACTATTAGGATTGTTTTGAGGCCACTAACACAAACATCCATATTCTGCAGACAGACGCTACTTTAAGCAATTGCAGAAGATAGATCATCATTGATCATCTTGTGAAAATAAAATAGTTTGTATTTACCCTTTATATAGCTGGATTATATTTATGGTTTCAGGTGGTCCACGAGATAAGTTGTGGCCCAGGCCACTAAGGCGATACTTGTTGAGATTCACAGACAGCGAACAATATCGAGAAAATGCCATGCCGATGAAGGCAACCACTCAGAATAACAATCAGTTTAAATAGAGTTTGGAACTCGTAGGAAAATCTCTGCCGCAGAGTCTATCTCTTCCTCATTATTAGCTGTCTATTTCACATGACTTCATTTCGGCGGGTCGCCGTAATTGCCAGCCTTTTTAAATATCGTGGCTCGCGAAACACCAAAACTACAAAATCTAGCTTTACAAAGGATAAATACATTCTAGATTTACATTCACAAGCAGATCCCTCATGTAATTTCATAATCTGCAGTTGTTTAAAGTATAATGTGTCTGCAAAATGTAGAAAATTTGTATTATTGACGTGAAAACCATTTTAATTTTAATAATTTTTCAAAGAAATTTTTAAACGACAAAAACATTATTTTCATATTATTTACTTTCTAAAATAATTTAATTTATATATACTCCTAAAATTTAAATTTGATTATACTCTTACAATTTAATGAAAATATATATTCTTCCTTCTGAAATTGCAAATTCGTGCTAGAAATTTGAATTTAAATAGATAATTATCTGCTTTTGAACCGCGCACTAAATGCTTCCGTCTTTTTAGTTTCTTTTAAGTTATAAATGAATTTCGCAAAAATTGTATCGCAATAAGTATTAAACATTTTAATTTTTTAAACTCAATTGAATCCTTTCAACACTAAATATTATTCTTTAGCTCAGACTATTATAAAAGACAGTTAAAGTATAACAAATAATAAACAAAACTTGTGAAAAAAATAAAATAATACAAATTATTTTGTCTTATTCCAGAGAATTGTACTCTCTCAATTATTTTCTAGACACTTCCTTTTCCTGGCACGCTTACGATTCAAAATACTGAAATCCAAAGGCTTTTATTTAAATTCTAAAAAAAATAAGAAAAAACCAGAAACACAACCAAATTCAGTTATGAGAAGGGGCAGTCAGTTATGAGAAGGCGTCTCCCGATTGGATAACAGTGTCACCACTCGTAAATGTAAAGGAATTTTAATCGGAGAATATTCCTCCGAGACGGTTGGTTCCTCGATGCACCACCAGAGCATAGCACTAATCAGGCGTACATTGGAGGAAGTGTGGTAGCTGCTTTCCACATTCACAAACAGCCGAAGCTGTTTCTACGAGTAACACCTTTCGTACTACAAATGCCATTTCTCAGCCCCATCAAACCTATTGCCCCAGCCACAGGGTTTCCAATATTTGTATGGAAGTTCGAAATTTAGGGTGCTCCTATCGGGAATCGAAACTAGACCCTCGCTTGAGGAAAGCAAGCATGCTGCAGCTTCCTGTGTAGGGAAACAATTAGTGGAGTCTTCAATTCCCGACCAGAGAAGAGACCAGCAAGAAGTGGAATAGCAATGTAAGAGGTCTAATTGAGCATCCGTCTATTACGCAGTTTTCTAATTACAACGTTGCATACATATTCAGAGGATGGAGTAAATGTGGGACAGACATTATAGCGTGTGAGGCCAGCGGGAGGAGGAGGAGGGGAAGGACAGATTAATATATGAAACCTTAAAAAAATATTCGTATATTCGTGTCACATCCCTATGCTCCCCACGTTTTGGAAGATTCTATTTGAGACTTTGGAAAGGGAACATTTTATTATAAATGTAAATTAATTACATTTTTTTTTGTGAAAACGTCTTCAGAATAAAAATCCATGAACATTAATTTGAAAAGAACATGAATCAGAAAGACCTCATCTCTTCATTGAAAACTGAAAAACTACTTGTAATAAAATATTAATACATCATCAGAAATAAAGTTCAAGGCATGTTTGTAAGGTCGCTTGCCTGATGAATGCTAGTTGGGATCTGTTCTGCGCTTGGAAACTGTAAGTAGAGAAAGAGAATGAAAATCCAAAAGAAGATAAAAGAAATGTGAGTGCGATTCCAAAAATTGCTGCACAAAATTGTTCGTTAAAAAATTATGCGAAATTTTCGTACAGGTTCCGTTAATATTGTAATATTTCAAAACAATTGCATAAAAATGCATGTGGTATTGCAGAAACTCTAGTTTTCTGCGACAATGATGTAGAGAAATCTCAATACGAAGACCAAAAACCAGGTCCTGATGATATTTTATATGATTTCCAAAGAGTAACGTTCGTTAAATAACTTTTGAGAGTATCGTCCTCCCAAATTGCAGTAAACATATATATGAACTCAAAAACATTCACTGGAACTATTTCGATATTTAAAATTGTCTCAGATGTTTTTTTTTATTTTTTTTTAAAAAAAGAATAATGACATGTTATATTTCTTTCCCACACCATTTGTCAGATAGTTCCGCTTGGCGGTTCATTATCGCTCCATTACATGGTCATTCTCAACCAGATACAGTGCAATGACAAAGTAAAACCAATTACGGTATTAACTATAAATTTCCAGGAAAGATAAACGCGTGAAAATAGTTGGATGCGGTCTTAAAAGGCTTCTTTTGCTTTCTGGAAATAAGGACTTTTCAAGGATAATGAATTAGTCAGAGAGGGAACTGAAGAGATAATTTTGGAAGCATATAGATAATTTTGCCCGTCATAAGGAAAAGTCCTACTATATCTCCTGCTCGAGTTCAATCGTGCAAATTTTATTTAAGCTTTTATTTATTTTTGCACGCATTAAAACCCAAATGAAAAGCAAACATATTAACAATCGACGTGTGTGCAGAAAATCAGTAGCAAAACTTTCTTCGCCATTATCTTATAACAGTTTCGTTAAAATATACGATAAACTCGATTTCGATAAATCAGTTGGAATACAATTTTTCTAGTCAAAAATAAAACCTGAATACGCCCAGCAATTTCCACTCTCCTCACGTCTGTCGCTAATTCTTTCCACTATTTCCGGCATTATCTACATTGTATTAATTCCCTTCAACATCTTCGTCCTCCCTTCTCATACGTTCACTCTTCCCAACCGCTCACTGTGTTCTTTTTATGCGCTCCATTCCCTAGCACAACTTGCTTTTGAAGGGAAACACTTCACCATGCCTCTTGGAAACTCGCATAGTTTTTATTGTTGCAAGTTAAACAGATACATTAGTACATACCTTTGTTTTCTGAACTATTCAAATCATATGCTTAATTTCTTACAGCTGTTAATGTTGTCTTGGCCTTTGTACTGTTATACTAAGGAGACTTTTATTCTTGTCAAAAGGATCGTACTGGACAATAAAAGTATTACACAAATTTGGACCACAACAAAACTGGAAGAAAAGTAATTACTGTATCGAACTGTGCGCATTACGGTGCGTAATTGTCAAGGTAACGGTACTGCGTAATTGTCAACGGTAATTGTGCGTTATTGTTTGTTTAAATAATGTGACAAAATTTGTATTTTTATGGGCGCCGTTAAATGGGCGAACGGAAGCATGCCATATAACTACTATTTTCCAGTAGATTCCGAAGAAAAAGAAAATTAGGGGAACAAGAACTATATCTACCACCGCTAAAACTGCACTAGCATCATCCTTTCATTGTATGTATTTCGTTGGCGAGTACAGAATATACTTATTAAATGTTAGAATACAAGACTTACAACTTAATGATCACCCTTCTCTACTTATCTTTCATTTATATTTCCCTATTTGATACGAGTTGCAAGCAATCGAGTAGGTACCACGAATAAGT